ATATATATATATTAAGAATCTAATTTACATATTTTAGTCACTAAATTTGTATTTACACTATATATTTTACATTTTATCGGATGTCCTTAAGGGACTATATCATAATTCGAATTAATCTTCTTTTAATTTAGTTATATCATATATATAATATATTTATATCTCCTTAAACTTATATTAATATGTACTATTTTATTTTATTTAATTATTATCTTACCTATAAATATTGAATAATATTATTAACATTAATTTATTATTATTATTATTACTAATAATATATAAATTTTATTTATTTAATAATTATAAATATATGTGCTTTGATACATGAATGAATTTTATAATTTATGTAACTTAAATAAGTCAATAATTATATAATTTTAAAATATATAAAAATTAAAAAAAATATTATATATTAATACACTACAAGAAATTTGTCATATAGTGACTCATTCTATAGTAACACAATACATGTCATTAAAAATTATTTTTATCCATATAATAAATGTAATATATGTTGGTATATTGTTAAAAAAAATGTAGGTATAAATTATAATGATAGAAAAAATATATTATTAAATATCATTCAAAATTAATACAAAAATTATGTATAACTATATATCAAATAAGTATATTCCTACATATATTGTACCTATAATAATCTTTTTTATATATAACTGTATGTAACATCTTTTGTAGTGGTAATATTATTAATACTAACAATATATAATTTCATTTTTTATTTAATAATAATAAATGTATGTATAATTTTAGTTTTCATTTGAGAATATTATAAAATGTATTTATATATTAAAGAAATTTATTAGTTTAGTGATTAAATATTCTTATTAGAGATAAGACTAATATATATATATATATAAAGACATTTTTGGCTAACGACAACAATCACATTTGATATATTTCTACAAATAATGGACTAAAAGGAAACGACTTTATTTTGAGAGATTAAAAATAAAAATCTCTATATTTAAAAGTACTTGAAACAAATTGAACTTACAAAAGTATAATTAAGTTTTTGCAGGGTTGTGTACCACACAAACAACAAAATTGTTTAATGAAGAATAACCTACCAACCTGACTTAACAACAGTTTTTGTCACCTTACATCCGAGGATCGCAATGCAGCCACATATAGAAATGGACAAACAGCTACGTACAGTGACCCCTATATTAATCGAATAATGTGAAAGTAATCAGCATAGTTATATGCATATTAATTGATGATAAATATAGTAGCCACTTACAGTTTCAGACCCTCTCAATTTGTTTATCTACCACATATTAAAGCATTAACATAGGGAGAGGCGATTCTTCTACCGAGGCACGCCATTATCAAGAATTCATCAACCACAACTGCTGCTTTAGACATTGAAGAGAGTAGATCTAACGGCTGTTGTAGATGATAGAAATGCACATAATTATACACATGTTGTGTCGTTGGTCTAAAATCTTCATGATAATAATAAAATTTAGCTACATAATAATAGCACAACATGCACTAGTAGGAAACCGATACTATACGCATATATCTACTATAACTGCGAGTTTAAGATTTCGGACATGTAATTAATTAATTTCATTTATTGTATGAATCTAGGATTCATGAGGAAGATCATGACATTTTCTTTGACTTTCCCGTGACACATATATATGTATATATATTTAGTTATTGATATCTAATTGTCATTTCTCAACAGTAACAAATTAATTATCTTGTATTCTGTTATGATTAGATAATATTCTGTTTCAATTTCTGCATTCCGTTATTTTCTTATTCGGTTATATCTACTGCATTCTGGTATCCCCTTTGCTGTATATAAATCGGTACCCATCCATTAATAAAGCGTGCCATTAATTGGTCATTGGCCATTCATACTTTTCCTTTTTCTATGAATCTGTTTACTTTTGTCATGGTATCAAAGCTCTTCGTATGAAGAGTTCTGCTGCGCACTTAATCTTCCTTCTCCATCTTTCAATTATTACTTTCATTCTTTCCTATCAACAATGAGTGGGGTGAGTGAACAAACACCTAGCATGGACAGTTTCTTATACCTCCATCCGAGCGAGAATCCAGCAATTGCTCTTGTCTCCCCAGTTTTAGATGCCAGTAACTATCATTCATGGAGCAGATCCATGATGACTGCCTTGAGTGCTAAGAATAAGGTAGAGTTTGTGGATGGAAGTGCCCCTGAACCACCCAAGACAGATCAGATGCATGGTGCATGGCGTCGCTGCAATAATATGGTCGTCTCTTGGATTGTTCATTCAGTGTCCATTTCAATTCGGCAAAGTGTCTTATGGATGGATAATGTCGCTTGTCCTCTTTTCTTCTTTCTCATGACTACAAACAGTCTTCCGCTGATCATTCTCTCTTCCTCCGCTTCAGTGGTAACACAACTACAGCTCTTCTTGTCTATGTTGATGATATTGTTTTAACAGGGAACAATCTTGACGAGATACGCCACATCACGAATCTCCTTGATCAAACTTTCAAAATAAAAGACCTTGGCAATTTGAAGTTCTTTCTTGGCATTGAAGTTGCTCGGTCCCGTAGCGGCATTCACCTCTGTCAACGAAAATACACATTAGATATGCTCTCTGAATCCGGTATGCTTGGTTCTCGTCCCACTTCAACTCCTATGGATTATTCTACTCGTCTACATGCCACCTCGGGTACCCCCTTATCTGCTTCATCTTCATCTTCCTATCGACGCTTAGTTGGACGCCTCATCTACCTAACAAATACGCGACCAGATATATCCCATGCTGTTCAACAATTAAGCCAGTACATGGCCAGCCCTACTACTGCTCACTCTCAAGCTGCATTTCGCGTTCTCCGTTACCTCAAGGGCACCCCAGGTTCTGGTGTCTTTCTTTCTGCCACTGGCAATCTTCAACTCAAAGCATTCAGCGATTCTGACTGGGCCGGATGTAGTGATTCTCGACGCTCAATCACGGGTTTTTCCATCTACCTTGGCGACTCTCTTATTTCTTGGCGCTCGAAGAAACAATCTACCGTCTCTCGCAGCTCCTCTGAAGCTGAGTATCGAGCTCTAGCTTCAACAACGTGTGAACTCCAGTGGCTCACTTATCTTCTTCAAGACATTCATGTGCCTTTTGTCCAGCCGGCTATTCTTTATTGTGATAACCAATCAGCGATACAAATAGCTTCTAATCAAGTTTTTCACGAAAGAACTAAGCATATTGAAATAGATTGTCATATTGTCCGTGAGAAAGTTAACAGTGGCCTACTAAAAATTTTGCCTATTTCCTCTTCCATGCAGCTCGCAGATATTTTTACTAAAGCTTTATCTCCATCCATCTTCCAAGGCTTTTGTTCCAAGCTAGGAATGATGAATATACATTCCCAGCTTGAGGGGGGCTCTCAACAGTAACAAATTAATTATCTTGTATTCTGTTATGATTAGATAATATTCTGTTTCAATTACTGCATTCCGTTATTTTCTTATTCGGTTATATCTACTGCATTCTGGTATTCCCTTTGCTGTATATAAATCGGTACCCATCCATTGTCTTTGTACGATATTCAACTTTTGACAGTTTCTTCTAACATGTCTGTCACAGACTCACAGTACATATACAATTATCAGCATGTTCAAATGGGATTTGGATGCTCTCGGCCATCTCTCCATCACACATGTGGATTATTAGATTTATCATATCAGATGGCTGATTTTAAAGATCACAAATTCATGAATTTAAAGTTAAATTTATTTATTAAAGCAAATTTTCGATAGTTTTATGTCATGCCAATGACAACTCTATTAACATCTCCGACAATTAATTAAATACATAATTTAAATTAATATTATATAATTTGACAATGATTATTAATATTGTTGTAATAATAACCTTAGCTCAAATTTTAACATGAAATTAAGAACATATTACTATTAACATGAATTGACCTTTGTATAATAATAATAATACATAATAAAAATAAATAAATAAAATGCGATAAACTAATAATACATGAATAAGTATAAATAAGTAATTAAATAAATGTATAAAAATCACATTAATTTTGTAATAATATTTTGATTGTGTAATAATAAAAAAATTTAAGAGATATATATAATTGAGAATAAATTTTTTTATTCTGCTTTTTTTTTTTTTTTTTTGGATAACTTTTATGAAACGGAATTTTCTTTATATTTGACAGTAATAGAAAAATTAAAACCTAAGCCCTTCACTTACAAATTACAAATGCAACATTACGTGATTCTTTAAATCTTGGTTTTCACTGTGGTAAAAAAACAGTTTTCACTAGTAACTCACTTTGAAAAAAATACAAGAGGTTATAATTTCGATTGTTTGCCAACGTGATTTATTGGGTGATTTATGAGATTGCATCGGAGGAGTCAGAATTTGAGATGAAGTTAATGAAGAACAATTAAGTGGTAATCTAACGGTTCACATTTGTTTTAAAATGATTTTATAAAATTAAATTTAAACCATTAGATATATTCAATATTATTATTGTTACCGGAGAAAAGATCTAAATTTGTTTAAATATGATAAAAAAAAATATAATGTCACAAAATATAAACAAATAATTGAAAATAAAGAAAACAAATAATGTTTCATAGACAATATTCAGAAAATGTTATTATGAGTAATATTGTTTGTTTACAAACTTTTTTTTATTTATGGAAAAATAGTATTTTATCTTATAAAAATTAGTAAGTTTTTTAATCTCAAAATTAACCTAAGCTTATATACTAGACAAAAATATTTGTTGAGAAAAATTTATAGTTTAAATGTATCTCGGTACTCTAAGACTTGGGTTCAAATATATAAAAAAAAAAAAGTTAATCAGCTATACACTATCAGTGTAAAAATTTTTTTACACTGACAACCAATTATATCTTTTAATTGTGTCATGTCACTATAAACACATTTATTTTTAACAGTGACATGGTATAATTAAAAGATATAATTAGTTGTCAGTGTAAAAAGATTCTACACTGACAGTGTATAAGTGATTAACTCTAAAAAAAAATTGTTCACAAATAATGTTTTTCCTGGATGGAAAATTTAATTTCAACGTGATGTCTGTTTTCAATTTTATTTTATACAGGAAATAATAAAAAAAACAAACAAAAAAAATATTTTCAATGTTTCCATACAATTTTTTTTAAATAGGAATCAAAATGAAAACAAAGTGATAGTGTTAATTAAAAAGTGAAAAATAAAAATAAAAACACAAATAAATGGATCTTATTTTCTTTGTTAAGAAATTGATTCGTATACCTCCATAATGACTCAATGAGGTAGTCGTGTGTAACATCCCAAATTTTATTCAATGAAAAAGGTTATTTTTATGTATTTTGAATATTCTATAAAAAGTATTTTATTTACTATTTACGTATACATATTTTACTATTTATGTATACGTATTTTACTATTTACGTATACGTATTTATGAATAGTGTTTTACTATGTATGCATAGTGAAAGGCTGCGTTTTCGGGGGCTGCGGACGTTTGAAGTTTCAAAATTATAATTAATTTGAATATAATAATGAATAGTGCATAGTGCATAGTAACTTATAATATTATTTTAATGAATAGTGCATAGTGCATAGTAACTTCATAAATTCTATAAATAGGGACCTAAGGATTTTGAAAATTCATAACTAGGGAGAAGAAAAGTTTAGAGAGAAGGAATTCTAGAGAGATAGAAAGAGAAAATAAGAGAGAAGGTTCTGCCTAGGTTGTGAAAAGAGGAGGAGAATAGAGAAGGTTCTGCTCTAGTTCCGGTTCCAGTTTAAGGAGAAAGAGAGTAGATTCTGCCCAAATTCCTATTTATCCAGGTAAGGGGGGGGTGGGAAACCTTGCTTGGGGGTGTAGAAATAATTGTTAAATAGTCTGTTTGTTGGATTGGCTCCCGATCCCTTGCCTGTTGTTTATTTCTTTGAATATGTATTATTGATGTGTTTTGTTTTATATCTTATTTATTTACATATTAGAATCTGTTATTTGAATGGAAGGCTAAGCCTCCTAAGTATTTATAAATTTGTAATCTATTATTTAAATGGAAGGCTGAGCCTCCTTATTATCTTATATTACCTTTTAAGCTTCCTACTTTACTTAAAAGATCTTAATATATTATTATTGAAAAATATGATACCTAAGCAACCTCTGGACTGTTGGATTGTTGGACTGTTGGACTGTTGGACTGTTTGGACTGTTGGACTGTTTGGACTGTTGGACTATTGGACTATTAAATTGGATTATTGAAATAATTCTTAATTATGAAATATGAATATGATATGTGTAACATGCTAAAGGTTGAGTCTGTGAATGTATGACATGCATCATATGCACATATTACTCCAGGTGTGCCGCTGAGGCCGCATACCCACGACTAACAAGGTGTACCTTTGGGTCACCCACGATATGCTAACGAGGTGTATGAACACCAATGATAGGTGTACCTTAGGGTCACCGACAATTGTATAGGTGTGCCTTCGGGTCACCAGTGATGAATTCTGCAACTTCCGTATGGCGCCACATGCATACATTAGTGAGTCAAGTCAAGAAAATCATTATACATAAGCATATATGTGAGATTGATTATATATGTGAATTATATTGCGTGTGTGTGTGCTATTTAACTTTTATTTCTATATCTGCAACTGAGTGAGAAGTTTCTCACTCCCTTGTCATTTTTGTGTATATTTAAATTATGATGCAGATAATTAGCATGAGGCTGAGGATGTTGGTGGTGAAGCTTAGGCTTCTGTTTGGGTTTCGCTCTGATAAGATGTGACATCGGGATTAGCTAGACTTATTGTTAAATTATTATTATTTTTCTTTTGTAATTTTTATGTTATTTATGTTGAAAGTGTGTATTTTTGTCATATTATAATTTTACTAAAAGATTATAAGTTAATTCCTAACTAGGAGGCCCTGCCACCTTTACTGGGATTAATCTATAATCTTTATTTTATTATTTCTTGACAATTTGATACTTATAGTTGAAAATTATGAATGTGCATCTTTTACCCAATGATACTTGAGATAATTATTTTATATTAGACTAAGAAAGAATTTATATATAGATGGTTTATATCTATTGTAATTATGTTGGGGTAGAGGGTGTCACATTTAGTGGTATCAGAGCAAGTCGATTTTATCAACCGTGTGTGTTATGTGCTTATCATGACTCTGTTGTGTACTCTGACTATGTCTTGTTTGTTGTGTACTATGATGATGATGTTCGTCCTGTGTTGATATTGTTGAGTTTGAGATTGTTAAGTTAGTTTGTAATCAGAGGAATGATAATCATGATAGTGTTAGCCAACTCGAATTATTAGAACCTTGGATGGGAGGTGATATATTGAGTGTACTAAGAGTTTATGATTGGTGAAGTTTCTGACATCTATAGTTGTAGCAGGTTGAATCTAAAGGTGGTTGTCTCTTTGGTGAGAGATCGAAATGATGTTAATTCCCTTAAGTGTTATTATTGGTATGTTAATTATTTATGGTTTAGGTAGCATGTGAGTTGTTTTGATTGAGAAAAGTAAGGAGAGACTTGAATGAGAAATTAAGTAGTGAATTTGGAAAAAGTTGAGGTATTTTGTGGCATTAGATATATTGATACATTATTGCTATTTGGTGTCGAAAATATTTTCATTATAGTTTGTTATGATAGTATGAGTATTATATCGACAAAATTTATATTTTGAGGTCTTTATGAAGAATATGGCTTTAGATATTATCTTTTCAATAGAACTAGGATAAGATGAAACAAAAATCTAGAACTTCAAGTTATGACTGCCTTGGTGATTAGAAATTTAGTAAGCACTGAATTTATTAGTGGTGATATTTGAATCTTTAGCTAAAGAGATGATCTCTTGGAAATCTTATGTCTTCATAAAGAGTTGTAGCTTATTCACTTAACTTTCGTTTGAGATAGGTTTGAAATCACTTGGATGAATACAACTCGGTTTGTCAGGTAGATATATGCTATCATGATATTTTGAGTTGTTAGGCATAAAAATAGATTTAAACTAGATTGTCTAAGTATGAATTTGGATTGTATGAGGTGAGTATTTTAGACCATGAAATTTCTTGCGGAGGAAGATCTACTTAAGTTGTGCTTAAGTGAGAGATACTTGAGTCAATTAGTAAAATCAGGAGTCTTGTTTGATAGTTTATATGAAAATTCAGTGAGTAATTTTTTTTTAAAAACTGTTCATGGTTTAAACTGCTCTCACTATAAAAATTGCTTTTGCCTTCGTTTCTTTGGTTATTAAGATGTTTCAGTTCACTAGGTTGTTTCTTGCCTACCCTTGGAATCAACCGTAAGGATAATCTATATCAGGAATTCTTGAACCTGTGTATATTTTTAACTACCCAAATCATTTC